CCCTATCGACCACTACTGTCTATTGGCACGGACGAGAATTGGAGCCGCCATCTTAAACCGGTCATCCGCTCCGCTCAGTGCAATCTGAATGACAGGTGAAATGAGCTGTCAGCACATTCAATTAATCATATCTCACTGAATACTGAACTGATTTTCATGCGTTTTTTTTTTTTTTTTTTTTTGCTGCAAACGTCATTCATGTAGCTATGATACAGGACACATGGTTCGGCGTATTTTAATATCCATTGTAGGTTAACAGTAATATAATATTCTGATATAAGATATAAAATGACCAGACACAATATATGTGATGAAGGATATAATGTATTTTATTATTCACACACTATAAATATAATAAAGAAGCAGAAACAGGTAGTAGCAGTAAAGTAAGATATTTTAATAAGTTGAAGAAACAGTTTATGATTGACAAACGCACATACACACGCACACACATACACACGAACAGACAGACAGACAGACACACACACACACACACACACACACACACACACACACACTCTCTCTCTCTCTCTCTCTCTCTCTCTCTCACACACACACACACACACACACACACATACACTGAGTGTGCAGTGAATTAGGTACATCTGGCATTTTAATGATCTGCCTTGAAAATATTACAGCTACATGCTGGTAGTGATAGGTTGTTTACAGCTGTGATACTTGCAAACACAGTGTGAAAGATACCTAATATCTTGGACACTCATTGTACAAAAAAGTCAGGGTTGTGGAAAATCTCATATTAAGATTGAACAGTATGGATTCCATATTATGTCCATTTTAAACAGACAAGTGATTTTGTAAGCTAATTACATTTTGAAGAACTTTCCTCAACCCTGCATACACTGCTCCAAGAACTGAGCAACTCTTATCTTAGCATGTTAATACTTATGTAGCAAATGCAACATATAATAATATACATAAAATGTATTAAGGGGGCCGAAGGCCAATTTAGCTCAAAGGGAAATGATTCATTGATTTGCAATGAATCTATGGAACCGAATCACTGAACCGAGCAAATGACTCGCTTAGAATTCATTTGAACGGGCCGTAATTATAACCAAATCTATAGTGAAACACTATGTCTTCTTAGCAAGGTAACTTTAAATCGAACAGTACAAGACATTAAATGTGCAAACACGACACAAGAAGATTTATCTTTTCAAATATATGGACAAGACTTTATTAGCTATTCTAAGCACAAAACTAAGGTCTAAACATAATCACGCACACACACACATTCATACAGTCGCGAAAGGGAAAGAGTGAGTTGGAAAGAGTGAGAGAGAAAGTTTTAACTTTCTATATGCACGTAAGACATAACCTGAAAGGACCACCAAGCATTAATTTGAACCTTCATTTCTTAGAGAGGTTATTCAATTAACATTAAAGCACCAGTTCAGTTAGAGCCTGGAGTACTTGCGCTTTGTAGTGGCTGAGGGAATTCCCTTTGTCTGCGTCGCGTCGAAGGGGGGTTTCCCGGCCGGGTCCGTTGCGTTGTTTGTTGTCTTTGAAGTGCAGGGATGGAAGTTTCTGAGTTTGCCGGTCACGTGTGACTAGCAGCCGAATGAAAAGTCTTTACGATTTCGAAGCGCGTTGCGGAGAGCCGTTCAAAACGAAGCTTTGCAGCAAACTTAACTTTGAAACGAGACTTTTACAAAAAAGGAAATAAAGGAAAGAAATGAAAGTAAGACGAGTCGGATGGCTTGACTGAGCTGAATTGTAACCCTGATCTTGATGGGTTATTCGTCTGCGGGTCGAATTTGGTCTAGTCGATGTAGAAGCATGCGAACATGTTCTTTGTTTCAGAGATAAGCACGAACAGAACACTCTCTTGCTGGTTTTAGAGAGAGGCACGGACTTAACAGTTACAGAACTGAACGAAAATCTAAAATCTACAAAAATCTGATCTTGAGGTCCTTTGTTCGGATCTTTAACTTAAACTCTAGTCCAACCTCCAAGAAGCTTCTGGCCAATTGGAGGCGGATCTACTTCTTGCTTTATCATAATTTATGCATGGTCTGTGAGCTGGTCTCCAGCACTTAGCAGAGACAAAAGACCATCGTTTTAACCTTATGATAATTATAATAATAAAACAAAACCTTTTACGCAGATTTCAATCAAGCCATCTTTTGAATTAGGAGAATACGATTCGTTTAAGAGTAAATGAGGCATTCACACTTCTAATGGTTGTATAACAATTACAAGAGTTAATAGTTAACAACAATTACATGATTCATATGTGATCTAAGCATTAACAAACAACACATGAATTGCAGAAAGCAATGAGACTTGTGAGGTTTGATTAAAAGTTCAAGAATTGTTCTGTGGTGAGTTTATATGATTTTATGTGTGAGATCTCCGATCTCAATCGTAAGGTTACTGAGAGTTCAACTCGAAGGGGGACGAGGCAAAGGTGTTCTGTGGAACATCTCTGTCAGGGGATCAAAAGGGGTCTTGGTTGTGAGCCTCTCGTTCCACCATTTTGGAGTTGACCTGTCTCAGTAAAACACCAACCTATTGACATGTTTCTTCCTGTGGCATTCTGTTGCTATCTGCAGGACCATAAAAGTCTTCGGAGGGGGGGTTTATTGTCCCCCAAAACAAACTCTTGGCGCCGTTCTGTGACTCTGGAATGTGGGCTCCAGAACTTGGAGTGTTGAAGCCATGTGAATTAATCCCATGAGAGATTAATTTGATTAAGTTGTGTTTGATTCGCCTTGATTCTCTACACTTACCTTACCTTATCACTTACCTGATCGTGTCATTATACAATCATTGTCAACAATCAATTAGCAACATGCACCTAGCCCTGTCTGGCTTTGCTAATTTGAAACAAGATAATATTTTAGTAGATATCAATGAGGATTATGTGATATTACATCAACTACAGATAACATGTTAATGAGATAAAATCAACATGTTATTTTCAGTCAGACAGGGAAAGGTACATTGTTGATATAAACTCATAATGAACATTTGTGAACATAACGAACATTTAGCAAGCTGGTTTAACTGTGGCACTGCTCTGCGAACTGAGCAGTTTGTCCACTTAGCACTAGCACCTGTATGTTGTAAGGTGCCTCATTTTTCCGCACCGAGGGAAAAGACCTAGCCCTCACAAATATTTGTGATGAGCTCCTATAAACTGTCGATTAAAGACATGTTAAGTGTTAAATAAAATTTAATAAAGTTCACAGAGTCAACAACTCCATATCACAGCTAAGCTTACTATTACCCCCTACTAGCTTGTTATTTTATTTATTACAAATAAAAAAATATTACAATACTTGATAATTAATAAGGGGGATACGGACAATATCACATGTAGATAATACGGGCAACATGAATCAACATGGTATTCTATTTCATCACAACAGATTTACTACAAGCTAGCAGAAACTGAGGTAAATTAGCGTCCATTTATAACTGTTACCTTCAATGTCGTGGATAAAACCTTCGATCCAGTTACTGTATCTAACTGTAACTGTATAACTAAGACAGCCCGGGGGATGTTGCAGTCTGTACTGGCCCACTGCTCCACATTTTAAATAGTTAACTCGGGCAGAGACGAAAGATTGGTGGTCCACACTGGAGTTTCCATTGCTGGTGTGGTGCGTAAGCGTCTGAGTCAAGTGTACCCCTCAGCGGCGGTCGCGTTTTCAAAATGGCCGCCAGGTGAATAAGGCAAATGGGGGCTGTAACTGGTGCAGGAAGGGCAGTCTCAGACAGCGTTGACTCTGTCGAGGATGATTCAGAAGGAGAATCCCATGAACTCCGTCTCTCGCTTGCCACGGAGATCAGGCGGTGTGGACGAAACCTCAGGAGAAGAAACGGAGGAAACCAGATCCCCTTGAGAGACCACAGCTAGAACACGACCCTCCGGGATCACGGGCAGCTTGGTGGATGATGAGCTTGTGGGTGTCTGTGACTCTTTCCGAGACAAGCAATCCACCAAATCAGTGAACGGATAAGTCACCAGCTCCTCCCGTTCAACCAGGGGTGGAAGAGAGTTGAGACCTGCAACGAGGTAGCAGTTTAGGAAGAACTCCGGAATGAAAAACCTCCTCTCGTTCACAACCCGGGCATACTCCCTTATCGATAGCCGTCCCTGAGCGGGAATCAGGAGCTTGCCTCTCCTCGAGTCAGCGATGGTCTTGGACCACCACTCCTTCAGTTCCTCAGAGTCATGCTTGACACCGGAGGACATACCATCTGCTGGGTTCGATTGTGGTCGGTTCATTCTGTTATGGTAAGGGTGGCGGATGAACCCAGAAGCAGACGGTAGTGATGTTACGTATGACACCGAAGCTTCGATGCGCGTATCACATATGCGACACAATTTGTAGTGAAGCCCCGTATCGGGGTGTGTATTGGTTTTCCCAGAGTCACGTGATCGATGACAAATGAAGCCTCACTTTCTGTCCGATCACGTGCGAGTTTCGCTTTGGGTGTCAGAAGGCTCGAACTCCAGATCTCATTTAACGAGTCAACGTTGCCTCAGTCTGGTTGATGGGTGTTTGAGTGCTGTACTTTGAAAGTTAATAATTCATTAAATAACCTACATGTATTTTTCACTACTTAGTCTATTCTTTTTTGTTTTGTCTTTTTGTTTTTGTAAAATCTTTGCACTTTGGTGGATTTAAGGTAATTTGGTGTTGGTATTTGGTTCCTACAGTTACATAAGCACTATCGCCAAGTGTCATACATTTAAAAACAGATGATCCTCCTATCAGACAATGTTATATTCATTGTGTGTGTGTGTACAGAGAGAGAGAGAGAGTGAGAGAGAGAGAGAGAGAGAGAGAGAGAGAGAGAGAGAAGGCCTACATTAAATCTTATTGAATAATATAAGCTTATATTTTATAGCTTATATAAGTCCGTATCAATGGGCTTGCCTTCACAGTTGCAGGAAATGTCTTTCAAATAGTAAACATTAACGTTAGGGCATTACTATTTTGATTAAGTGATTGTAATTGATTTTATATAACCTCTTTCTAGAATTACCTCAAATGAAAAGTTACCTCGCCATTATTGCTCAAAAGGTAAGTTCCTCTGATTTTGCTTTTTAAAATGGTTTCTCTTGCAGAGCTGTAGAGACTTGTGATGTTGGGCTGATTGATAGTGTTAATTATTTGATTTAAGTTATTTGCACTTTAATTTATTGAAGAGAATAACTTTTATTTTTCTTCTATGATCAAGACTGGAAGGAGTCCTGTGGAGGATTTAGATTCCTCCTCTTTTGAGAAGTGCAACCGGTGAGTAACCCCCTTGAATTTTTATTTATTTATTAATAAATACACCCCCACCCCCACCCTGTCCTCCTCCTCCTCTCCTTTAAGAACATTTAGGGCAATTATTAATTTGTTTCATATCTTTATCATTAATCTGCATTTATACATAAAAACATATAAACTATTGGGAAGCTAAGCATAAGAATCAATATGAAACAATGCCAATAAATGAATAAATTATTTTTCAGATTGAAGTTATAAAGGGCTCTGGGGTGTTTTGCCAGGCAGAAGTGTGGAAAGCAGCCCTCCATGCCACCTCTGCTACTGCCATGGTGTGGAATCTGCTGCTGGGCACATTTGATCTGGAGACTTTGCTGAAAAACAACCTGAATGGTACAAAACATGCTCCTAATCTCTTCTGTCCTTAAAAAACAATTAATATTCTGTGGAATAAATTATGTTTGTGTGCGGGCATACCATCGCTTTTTTACTTGCCATTTTTGTATTTCCTTGCACCTCAAGAAAATGTGATGTGTATATAAAAAAAGTATTGCTTTCACAAGCTTCATATTGACCCCCTTTTATAATAATTTTGAAATTTTACTTTAAGGTGGGAAGCCAACCAGAGGGGTTGGGGAGCAGCTGGTCGCCCTTGACCAAATTAAAAAGGCATTATTATTGGTGAGTAAATGGATAAAAGTTTTGTTTTCCCTTCTCAACGCATTAGGATTTTGTAAGTTCGCCACTTTAACCATAGCCTACTTGTATCAATGTTTATTAGGCATCAATGGAGACTGTATAAGGGATTATTGTTACTATATCTGCTTGGAACCTATAATACTAATTCATCGCTTGCTCAGTTCTTGATCCTAACTTTCCTTTTCTTAAGCCACGTTTCAGATTTTTCAGAATCTTCAAATTGACATGTTTACATGACGCATTTTTTAAAATGATCAACCTTTTATCAAAAAATATGTGTCCGATCACATCTGTACTGTAAGCACTTTGGGTTCCTGATGAAGTATATATTCTTCTTCTTCTTCTTATTATTATTATTATTATAGTGTCTTATTATTTTTGTCTTCTCTAGATGCTACATTGAAGAAGTGGCCGTCAGCCAGCCGAGGGGAGATGGGCACGTCTATCAATTCAAAGCTCATGGAGCTGAGAAGATCAAAAAGATTTTTTTTCTATCCAGTTTTTTTGTCTTATTTTTGTTTTTGTACTATTTGATCTTAAGTAAATAAATAATCTAAATGCATACATTTTGGACCATTATTTATGTTGCCTAGTAGCTATGTATTTTAATAATTATTCTAATAAAACCAGCTTTCTGAAAAGCTGGTTCATGCCTTTGTCTCCTCCAGACTGGATTACTGCAACGCACTTCTCATTGGGATTCCTAGAAAGAGTCTGCAGAGGCTTCAGTACATACAAAACTCTGCAGCTAGGATCCTGATGAGAGTCCGGATTCCGGAAACATGAGCACATTACCCCCATCCTCCACTCACTCCACTGGCTTCCCATCTCCACCAGGATTGAGTACAAGGTTTCTCTTCTCACACATCAGTGCATCTATGGTCATGCCCCCCCCCTACCTCAAAGAACTTATCAACCCACATAACACAACACGTTCTGTCCACTCCACTCACTCAAACCTCCTCCACATACCCAGAACCAGACTTACGACAATGGGAGATAGGGCCTTTTGTGCTGCTGCCCCAAAACTGTGGAATGCACTCCCTGACACCTTGAGGGCACCTCAATCCACTGAATGTTTTAAAAAAGGCCTTAAGACATTCCTTTTTAGCAAAGCTTTTGACACCCTTTAGATGTTATTTTTTTTTCTTTTGTTTTTTTTCTCTTTCTTTTTTTTCCCTCTCTTTTTAAAGAACTGTTTATCTTTTATTGTTTTTAACCTGTAGCACTTTGAGATCCTTGGATGAAAAGTGCGTTATAAATTAAACGTATTATTATTATTATTATTAATATAGGTAAACATGTTGGTGCATGTATAGGTGAACATATATGTTCATATATACATGCATACATGTACTTATATAGGTACATATATGCATGTATATATGCACCTATATGTGTACATATATGCATGCATACATGTACATATATAGGTTCATATATGCACAAATATATGCACCTATATGTGTACATATATGCGTGCATACATGTTCATATATGCACCTATATGTAGACATATATGTGTGCATACATGTACCTATATAGGTGTGTATATATGTGTACATATATGCATGTATATATGTACATATATGTGCATATATGTACATATAATATAGGAAAACGGCCAATTTTATATATGTCACATATATTAAAAACATATATCAAAACCTATATTAAAACATATATGTTTATATAGGTTTTTTCCATTAAATATGGAACACTAATGACGAGGACAGGTGAGACTGACTAGACAATAATGACCAGACGAGGATAACAAGGGGGCGGAGTAAAGAAACGAGACAACACAAGCACATGGCCCAAACAGGCCATGCGCTTGCACACAAAACATGATTCTGTCATGATCCTGCCTCACGACTAGAGAAAATCAAAGACAAGAAGGCAGAATCATGACAGCCAACACCCTGTGTGTTTTAATCATTTTGTGAAGCTTTTGCTTTACTCTTTCTTAGCTTCGTTAGGATCTTTCTTAACCGAAATCTTTTCTGCTTGCTAAGATCATCAAGACTAACGTTTCTTTGCAACAAAGTCACTGACGCTATAAATTTCCCTATGTCTGGAAAGAAATCTTTGACTAGATAGCAAAATTTGTCTGGCCCACCTCTGGGCCTCATCCTTGCTTCAATTTTGGCCCAGTTCTGGCTGGGTCCCCGGCCCAAAACAGGCCCAGCACACCGACAACGGACTCAAACAACTTGGCCCAGGCACTGTAAAATGACTCTTATTTATTTAAATGGCTCAGTTCTGGCCCAGGCACTGTAAGACGGATCTGGCTGAGAGTCGGCTGGGTCCCCGGCCCAGATGTGGCCCACAAACTGGCAGACAGTGAAACACAAATTCAACCATTTAAAAAAGGGTTTTTATTATAAAATTAACAAATACACTTTAATATAAAGTAAACATGTATTAACAATGAACAAAATACACTTCATTAACATTTAACAACAACACAATTTTTAAACAAAATAATAAGTAAATTATATTTATTATATATGTTTAAAAGAAAAACATCTTTCTCTTTCACAAACAAACTCATTCTTTAACAGTTTACAAATTCATTTTGCAAATGTCAAGTCACCATTAAATGTATAGCACTATACAGTAATGACTGTTTCAAAGCAGCTTTACAGGGTTAAACAGGACCCTTTTCTCCAAAAAGAAAATAGTGTCATTGTTCAACTGAATTTAGCTGTGTTAATTCAGTTCTGTTCAATAACTGTAGAAAGTATATCAAATATAAAAAGAGTCCATTTTCATTATTAAGCAGCTCTGCAGAAAACAGTGATGTCATCCCAGCTCAGTTCAGTTCTCACATAATGGTGTCAATGCAGGCCGATCAGTATTAAGAATAAGTGTCCCGATAGGGTTGGTGTCCCCAACTAAGCAAGCCAGAGGCGACAGTGGCAAAAACCCAAACTCCATCAGTGACAAAACGAAAAAAGAAAAACCAAGCTCAGTCAGGGCCAGTTCTCCTCTGGTCAAACAACGAACATGGTGTGTGTTAGGATTCCAGGCTGCTTCACAAGTCAGATTGTGGATTGATATCATTTAGAGTATTTTATTCAACTCCTTTTGCTTGAAGATTGGAAAAGATTACACCACGGTAAAAGAGTAAAACTCGAGAGCATGTAGATGTGAATTTGAGAACTTGTACAATAATTATTTGTACTTGTACAATAAAATTTACACTCACAGCTCCAACGTGAAAACCTCCAATGTGAAAACACTGTATTAGGCATTCGCAACTTCTCAAATCTGCCATTGCAATTTTTTTAATTGCCCTGCCTTTCTCTCACCATCACTCTTGCAAATGCACAAGTTTATATGGTTTATATGTTTGCAAATGCACAAGTTAGTTAAAGGGTTAGTTCACCCAAAAATGAAAATTCTATCAGTATTTACTCACCCTCATGTTGTTCCAAACCTCTATGTGTTTATTTGTTCTGTTGACACAAAGGAAGATATTTGGAAGAATGTTTAAATCAAACAGATCTCATTCCCCATTGACTACCATAAAGGAAAAAATTCATACTATGGTAGTCAATGGGGAATGAGATCTGTTTGATTAAAACATTCTTCCAAAACATTCTTCCTTTGTGTTTGGCAGAACAAATGAAGGTTTGGAACAACATGAGGGTGAGTAAATACTGATAGAATTTTCATTTTTGGGTAAACTAACCCTTTAATATATTGCGAAAATAGTTGCAAAGTCAATGCGTGAAGATTTGAAATAGCAATGGCAGATTTGAAAAGTTGCAAATGCGTATTGCAAATGTGAATGAACGAATACAACTTTGTGTCTGTCGTTGTATTTCTTTGAAAGGCATTTTACACATTTGTGACTACTTGACTGCAGCTTCAAATTCAGAATACAGGTTTGTGACTATTGTCGGTGAGTGAAAATCTCAACATTCAACAGGTTTTCAAGTACAAATATTTGTTGTACAACTTCTTAAATTCACATCTATGATCTCCAGTTTTGCTCCTTCTTTACCTTTATAAGATCACGCCGGCGTCGGTGAGAGGGGGGTTGAAGCTGGCTGCTGGGTCTGTGTGGTGGACTGGACTGTTTCTTGTGGATCTGATCCGATGACTGTGCCGAGGACTGTTGTGTCAGCAAGGTCTTCACAGGCTTTTGTTTCTAGGTCTTGTCTAGTTTTGATATCCTCGCCTGGCATTCAGGCTGCTGTGGTCATCTTAGGGGGCAGGTCCATCTGGTCTGGATGCAGAATAGATCCGGATGTCTACAGTAGCCAAATCTTGGGATCAGAATGAGACAGAGAGACTAATATTAACGTACACTCTTAGAAAAAGGGTTCATTGGGGTTCTATATATGAAGCATAGGTTTCTTTACTCAACTCCAAAGAACCTTTTATGCTAAAAAAGATTCTATAATGACAAGAAAGAACCCTTTTGGCACAAAGGTTCTTTATAGGCTATTATTCATTCAAATATGACATTATTCTGCAACATTTTGTAGTTGTAATTAAAGTATTGTTTATTAAACTGTTGTAGTAAGTTAATATCACATTTTAATCATGCTGATTTTTGGAGGAGAAAAACTGAAATGGCACTCTTCGTGTGATGATTAACTACATAAAATTATATATATATATATATATATATATATACATTTTCTAACCTCCATATCTTGAATGTGGTCATTCACATGCATTCAAGAATGTAGATGCCATACTTCTTTCGATGTAACAAGTACATTTGATGTAAGCTACCTTTAACGGATGTGAATTAAAGAAATGTGGGAGTGTGTTATGTTTATGCTAGGTTAAAGAGTTGTGTTTTTAATATAGATTTAAACTTATCTTGTGTCTGCCCCTCGATCTGCTGGCAGTTCATGCACTCTAAAAAGAGATGTGTTAAAAAACAACACACATCATGTGTTGATGGTATTTTGACACAAGTTGTGTAGTTTTTAACACACAATGTGTGTTAAAATGTAACTGGATAGAATTTTAATGGGTGGAGGGAAGTTTGTGTTTATGAACCTAATTAGAGGTAGTATATTTTATATGGTATCCCATAACATGCTCTAAAATAAATGAAACAATACATTACAATAAATAAATAAAATCTTAATTCATAAAAAACTTCAGATTAATGAGTGTTTTTGGCAGCCAATCACATCATGCCTCGGTTTCAATGTTTTTTTTTCAAATGCTGATTTCACTTGTTATTAATAACTAATTTATTATAACAAACAATTTATTTCTGTCAGACGTCTACAGAAACACTTATTGAGAATTACCAGGTTTTGTGTTGACGATTAATTGAATGTTTGTTTTGATGTCACCAGAATCGTGATTAGTGGCAGCTTTATTTAGGCTCTTGACCCTTCAACCTTAACATTCGTTTCTCTGTTGGCTGTTTCTGTGTATTTATATTGCACATCTGAAACAGTTGAAATTATCTTGAGGAAAAAGATCATT